AATCTCGAAAATTCATCGAATCGATAAAATCTCGAAAAGAGGCTCTTAAACGTCATCGAAATTTATGTGATATTTATATTTATACACATGTTCTTCTATATACGTGTGCGTATATATATATATATGGATAAATATAAACCAGGAGAATCCATAAATTTCATGAATGACGAAAAAAGAATTCATGAATTCCATCCCGTGAAGGAATCCATGAATCCAGAAGCGAATTCGATTTTTCCGGGCGAGGGAACGCGATCAATCGTTTTCTCTATCTTACTCTCTGCTTTATATACCTTCCTTGTTCTATCTCTTTCTCTTTCTACCTCTCTCTATATCTATCTACTTCCGTCTATATCTTTATCACCGATTTATTATCTTTAATTGAATGACTGATTTTATTGACAAGATACGCGAAGTGGGTCGGAGGTGCAAGGACATCTCTTTCATCTCTGAACAATAAAAATAAAAGAAAAGAAAGAAATCATAAATTAAAAAAAAAAAAAAAAAAAATTCAAAATAAAAAAAAAAAAAAAAAAATAATAGAAAATCTTTCCCGTTAACGCTCTCAACTTTCGAAAGAAGATGCTTCTAATCGATCTAACGATAAACGTGCTTGTGAACAACACACATTCATTCGTTCACACGTATATATATATACACACACACATATATATATTTATATAGGCATACGTTGTAGAAATCGACTTGCTTCTAATCGAACAATCGAGAACGATGCGAAGTTCGTCGGAAATATTCCGAATAAATTCGAGTCGAAATAGTTCTGCTCGAAACAATTAGGCCGGTCCTCTGTTCAAGGCTGACTCCCCCACTCCTTCGTTTCGTCCCCACCATAGCTGATTTCGACCCATCCCCCACTCCTTCCTTCCCCCACCATTGGCTATAACTTTGAGCTCGAGGAATCGACATATTTCGCCGCTTACGATCTTATCGCCGCTTCTGAAGGGATACATCGCCATGTTATAGAATTTCTGTGGAACGTAGGATTAGGTGGGGAGGGTACTGAGAGTACTGAAGTACGGAGGATCGACCTAATATCTTCGAGAAACGTTTAATCTTGTAATTAATCCATTAATCCTCGACGCGAAGATTTTTCGTATTTGCAATTATAAAGGGGATTCAAATATTTTTTTTCCCCCTCAAATGACGATTTAACTTCTCCAATGGATTAATTACTTTGGAATGAGAATAATTTTAAAGGATAAAATGTTATTATATGTGAGTTTGAACGAACAATTTCAGGCTCGAAGGAATATTCCGCACGAACGGAAGCTACGTTCCAGCATTTGGCATGGCTAACGCTTTCCGCCTCGCTTTCTTTTATTTCGTTTCACGCCTTCGTATCCGTCGCTCGCATTTCTTATCAAGAGAGAAGCAGCACGGAAAGGGCCGTTTTTACGTCCGTTTATAAGGAGTGACTCCGCGTCGAGGCAGCTCGCTTCCGGCCCATCTCCACCGGAAACTCCTTTTAACTTTGAAAACTTTATCGAAGAAATTCCATCCCATGTATCTGTGCTTTTCCAACGGAAAGATCAATTGGAAATGGTCACATCCCCAACTCGCTATCTCCCGCCCCCTCCCATTTCATACAAGAAACACGAGCTTCCAAAGAGGGTGTATAAATCATCTCGAGTTTCTGCGACTGGAAACTTTTATCGCGTACGAATTTATCGCGTACAAATTTTATCCGTGATGAAACAGATAAGTTACACTCAAAATACAGTTCTCTTCTTTTTTTTTAAATTTATCAGAATCTCGTTTCGATATTACAATTGATCGCAAATCAATAATTTCTAACGCCCTCGTTTTCTAATTTTCAATCAAATCACGTGTACACTTAATGGCGCGAAAGAAGAAGAAAAGAAAAAGAGGGGGGGGGGGAAGAAAAATGGTAGGAAAGCAAGCGTTGCCTCGACGGAAGTGGCTCTCCGGTGGCGGAAGGTGATAAGAATAGGCGGGGCCGCGTTTCCGGCGTACACTCGTGCTCAACGCCGAAAGTACACGAATATCGCACTCCCGGGGTTCTATACCCCTGCCCTCCATCTCATTTTTCCGCCACCTTTCCCCCACGGTAAATTACATGTAAGCGGGGTGGATACTCGCTATGTAATTGCGTCACTCCCCTGTGTGCGATTCAATTTTTCTCTCTCGGCCACCCTCCCCTCCCCTCCTCTTCCAAGAGGAAGAATCCACCCCCTCGCTTCTCCCACGTTTTTTCTCTCTCCCGTTTAACGCTATACGCTGTTTTCCGCGGTTTTTATTGAAAGGAATGGGGGCACCTGAAGATGGGGCCTGAAAGCTTCCAGGAATTCAGGCGAATGAATTTTGGATGGGATGGAAGATCTCGTAGGCCTCGTTGAAAAGCAAGGTTAAGGGGTGTTTCTTTTTCTCTCTGTCTCTTTTTTTTTTCTTTTTAATCAGAAGGGAGCTTCCAGAAGCTATTGTGCAGAAGTATTGACGAGTTGTTTAACTTGGTAATTGTTGATTGCGAGCAAGGATAATTTAGAATAATTGGGGAGGATCTAGTTATCTAATCTAGTTATTTTGAGGGTGTTGGGAGGATATTGTAATATCGAATAATTTTTCAGATTTATAGAATATAGATGTTTTGTAGAAATGTATATTATATAAAGTGTTCTACGATAGTATTATGTGATAATTCTACGATTCTGAACGTAGAAAAGGAGTTATATGTACGAGGAATATATTACTCACGAACGAAATTAACTAAAAAAAGGAAACTTCGATGAAAAAAGAAGCTTTTAGCGAACACGTACCGCAAAACGGACTATACGATAATTAAATAAAATAAATGAAACGAAAATGAAAAGAAGAAAAAAAAAAATCGCTGAAAACTGGCCCGGTCTTTCGATCCTGAATTTGTTAATAATTCCATCTCAAAGATATTCGTTGTCTTCCTTTCCAAAAAAAAAAAAAAAAAAAA